AACCAATTTGACAATAAATTTCATATATAAAAAAATAATAATAATAATAAAAAATAAAATAAAATAAAAAAAAGAAAGGTGAAGCCAAAGGACTTTAAAATCCAAGAGTCTGGGAGAAAAAGAGACTGAGTCTACCAGGGATAAACAGGACAATGTGAGAGAACACAGGACTACTTCAAGGAAGATATCAAAGCACAGATGGTGCTTTGGTGGCAGATCCAAACATCACTACAAGTAGGGAAATAAAATAACCAAAGTCACAACAACAGAGAGAAAGTAACACTCTCCAAAAAACACCTCCTGAAGTGCCAGGCAAGGACAGTGTATAACCAACCATTAATACAACAGTGCTTGCAGGTGTAGAGCACATAACAAGCTTTTAAACTCATAAAGGGCAAAAAACTAGCCAACATGATGAAACAGAAGAATTCTCCTCAAAAGAAATTACAGGAAGAAGTGACAGCTAAAGAATTGATCAAAACAGATTTAAGCAGCATAACTGAACAAGAATTTAGAATAATAGTCATAAAATTAATCACTGGGCTTGAAAAAAGAATAGAAGACAGCAGAGAATCTATTGCTACAGAGACCGAGGGACTCAAAAATAGTCATGATGAATTAAAAATGTTATCAATAAGGTGCAAAATAAAATGGAGGTAGCCACAGCACGGATTGAAGAGGCAGAGGGGAGAATAGGTGAATTAGAAGATAAAATTATGGAAAAAGAGGAAGCTGAGAAAAACAGAGATTAAAAGAAAATCCAGGATCACAAGGGGAGAATTAGAGAACTAAGTGACTCAATATCCATATCATAGGAATTCCAGAAGGAGAGAAAGGGGCTGAAGGTGTACTTGAACAAATCATAGTTGAGAACTTCCCCAATCTGGGGAAAGAAACAGGCATTGAAATCCTAAAGGCACAGATAACTCCCTTCAGATGTAACTTGAATTGATCTTCTGCACAACATATCATAGTGAAACTGGAAAAATACAAGGATTAAGAGAGAATTCTGAAAGCAGCTAGGGATAAACAGGCCTTAACATACAAAGGTAGACACATAAGGGTAGTAGCAGACCTATCTACTGAAACTTTGCAGGCCAGAAAGGAATTGCAGGAAATCTTCAATGTGTTGAACAGGAAAAATATGCAGCGAAGAATCCTTTATCCAGCAGGCTTGTCATTCAGAATAGAAGGAGAGATAAAAGTTTTCCCAAACAAAGAAAAACTGATGGAATTCATCACCACTAACCCAGCCCTACAAGAGATCTTAAGGGGGACTCTGAGTGAAATGCTGCAAGGGCCACAAAGTACCAGAGATATCACTACAAGCATAAAAACCTACAAATAACACAGTGACTCTAAACCCATATCTTTCAATAATAACACTGAAGGTAAATGGACTAAATGCTCCAACCAAAAGACATAGGGTATCAGAATGGATAAAAAAAAAAAAACACTCATCTATTTACTGTCTACAAGAGACTCATTTTAGACCTGAGGACACCTTCAGATTGAAAGTGAGTGGATGGAAAACTATTTATCATGCTACTGGAAGTCAAAAGAAACCTGGAGTAGCCATACTTATATCAGACAAACTAGAAGAAGGGCCCCCAGATATATAAAACAATTAATCACAAACATAAGCAATCTTTTTGGTAAGAATGTGGTAATTGCAGAGGACTTTAAACTCCACTTACAACAATGGACAGATCATCTAGACAGAGAATCAATAAAGAAACAAGGGCCCTGAAGGATACATTGGACCAGGTAGGCTTGACATATATATTTAGACGTTATATCCGAAAGCAGTAGAATATACTTTCTTCTTGAGTGTACGTGGGATAGTCTCCAAATTAGATCACATACTGGGTCACAAAACAGCCCTTAATAAGTATAACAGAATTGAAATCATACCATGCACACTTTCAGACCACAATACTTTGAAACTTGAAATCAACCACAGGAAAAAGTCTGGAAAACCTCCAAAAACATGGAGATTAAAGAACATGCTACCTAAGAATGAATGGGTCAACCAGGCAATTAGAGAAAAAATTTTAAAAAATATATATGGAAACAAATGAAAATGAAAATACGACAACCCAAACGCTTTGGGATGCTGCGAAGGCAGTCCTGAGAGGAAAATACATTGCAATCCAGGCCTATCTCAAGAAACAAGAAAAATCTCAAAAACAAAATGTAACAGCATACCTAAAGGAAATAGAAGCAGAACAGCAGACACCTCAAACCCAGCAGAAGAAGAGAAATATAAAGATCAGAGCAGAAATAAACAATATAGAATCTAAAAAATCTGTAGAGCACATCAATGAAACCAAGAGTTGTTTTTTTGAAAAAATAAACAAAATTGATAACCCTCTAGCCAGGCTTCTCAATAAGAAAAGGGAGAGGACCCAAATATATAAAACGCGAATGAAAATTTATTACAACCAATTCCTTAGAAATACAATTATCAGGGAATACTATGAAAAATTATATGCCAGCAAACTGGACAACCTGGAGGAAATGGACAAATTCCTAAACTCCCACACACTTCCAAAACTCAAACAGGAAAAAAATAGAAAATTTGAACAGACCCATAACTAATGAATAAATTGAATCAGTTATCAAAAACCTCCCAACAAATAGGAGTCCAGGAGCAGATGGCTTCCCTGGGGAATTCTACCAGACATTTAAAGCAGAGTTAATACCTATCCTTCTCAAGTTCCAAAAATTAGAAAGGGAAGGAAAACTTCCAGACTCATTCTATGAAGCCAGCATTACTTTGATTCGCAAACCAGACAGAGACCGAGTGAAAAAAAGAGAACTACAGGTCAATATCCCTGATGAATATGGATGTAAAAATTCTCAACAAGATGCTAGCAAATCAAATTCAACAGCATATAAAAAGAATTATTCACCATGTTCAAGTGGGATTCATTCCTGGGCTGCAGGGCTGGTTCAATACTTGCAAATCAATTAATGTGATACATCACATTAATAAAATAAAAGATAAGAACTATATGATCCTGTCAATCAACGCAAAAAAAGCATTTGGCAAAATTCAGCATTGTTTCTTAACAAAAACCTTCAAGAAAGTCGGGATAGAATGAATATACTTCAACATCATAAAAGCCATTTATGAAAGGCCCACAGCTATTACCATCCTCAATGGGGAAAAACTGAGAGCTTTCCCCCTGAGATCAGGAACACGACAGGGATGTCCACTCTCATCACTGTTGTTTAACATAGAGTTGGAAGTCCTAGCCTCAACGATCAGACATCAAATTGAAATAAAATGCATCAAAATTGGTAAAGATGAAGTCAAGCTTTCACTTTTTGCAAATGACATGATACTGTACATGGAAGACCCGAAAGACTCCAGCAAAAGTTGGCTGGAACTGATACATGAATTCAGCAAAGTCACAGTGTACAGAATCCATGTACAGAAATTGGTTGCATTTTTATAAACCAATAATGAAGCAACAGAAAGACAAATAAAGAAACTGATCCCATTCACAATTGCACCAAGAAACATAAAATACCTAGGAATAAACTTAACCAAAGATATAAAAGACCTCTATGCTGACAACTATAGAAAGCTTATGAAGGAAATTGAAGAAGGCACAAAGAAATGGAAAAACATTCCATGCTCATGGATTGGAAGAATAAATACTGTTAAAATGTCAGTACTATCCAAAGTAATCTACACATTCAAGGCAATCCCAATCAAAACTGCACCAGCATTCTTCTCAAAGCTAGAACAAACAATTCTAAAATTTGTATGGAACCACAAAAGACTTTGAATAGCCAAAGTAATATTGAAGAAGAAAACCAAGGTGGGAGGTATCACAATCCCATACTCTAGCCTCTACTACAAGGCTGTAATCATCAAGAAAGTAGGGTATTGGCAAAAATAAATAAATAAATAAATAAATAAATAAATAAAATACAAAACAAAACAAAAAAAAAACAGACACATAGATCAATGGAATAGAATAGAGACTCCAGAATTGGACCCATAAATGTATGGCTAACTAATCTTTGATAAAGGAGGAAAGAGTATCCAATGGAAAAAAGATAGTCTCTTTAACAAATGGTGCTGGAAAAACTGGACAACAACATGCAGAAGAATGAAACTAAACCATTTTCTTACACCCTACACAAAAATAAACTCAAAATAGATGAAAGACTTAAACGTGAGACATGAAACCATAAAAGCCCTAGAGGAGAAAACAGGCAACATCCTCTTTTACCTCAGCTGTAGTAATTTCTTCCTCAACATGTCTCCAAATGCAAGGGAAATAAAAGCAAAAATGGACTATTGGACCTCATCAAGGTAAGGAATTTCTGCACTCCAAAGGAAATAATCAACAAAACTAAAAGGCAAATGACATAATGGGAGAAGATATTTGCAAATGACCTGTCAGATAGAGGGTTAGCATCCAAAATCTATAAAGAACTTACCAAACTCAATATTTGAAAAACAAATAATCCAGTGAAGAAATGGGCAGAAGACATGAATAGACACTTTTCCAAAGAAGACATTAAGATGGCCAACAGACACATGAAAAGATGCTCAATGTCACTCCTCATCAGGGAAATACAAATCTAAGCCACACTTAGATATCACCTCATGCCGGTCAGAGTGGCTAAAATGAGCAAACCAAGAAACTATAGATGCTGGAGAGGCTGTGGAGAAATGGAAAACATCTTGCACTGTTGGTGGTAATGCAAACTGGTGCAGCAGCTCTGGAAAACAGTGTATAGGTTCCTCAAAAAATTAAAAATAGATCGATCCTATGACCCAGCAATAACACTGCTGGGAATTTACCCAAGGGATACAGGAGTGCTGATGCATAGGGGCAATGTTTATAACAGCACTTTCAACAATAGCCAAATTATGGAAAGAGCCTAAATGTCCATCAACTGATGAATGGATAAAGAAGATGTGATTTATATATACAATGGGATACTACTTGGCAAAGAGAAAGAATGAAATCTAGCCATTTGCAGCAACATGGATGGAACTGGAGGGTATTATGCTAAGTGAAATAAGCAAGTCAGAGAAAGACAGATACCATATGTTTTCACTCATATGTGGATCTTGAGAAATTTAACAGAAGAACATGGGGGAAGATAAGGGGAAATAAAAGTTACAGAGAGCGAGGGAGGCAAATCATAAGAGACTCTTGGATACTGAAAACAAACTGAGGATTGATGAGGGGTGGGGGAAAGGGGAAAGTGGGTGATGGGCATTGAGGAGGGCACTTGTTGGGATGAGCACTGGGTGTTGTATGGAAACCAATTTTATCATAAATTTTATCATAAAAATTTTTTAAAAAATCCACCAACATCTCACCTTAAAGTGTAAAGGATTTTCCCATCATTCCAAATTCTGAGGAGCTGATTGGGGGTGGTGATCCAGTGAGCCTCTGCAGTTTTAGAATTGCGGAAGATTGTATCTGGAATCCATATTAATCCCACCATGTTGCTGTTCAGAGTGAGTATTTTCATTGTACTGTTGAATCGAAGGCGACTGTCTGTCCAGGTCTGAGCAAAAAATATATCAATTTGGTATTCCTGAAACAGAGAAAAATGAGAGGCAACATCATTCTATTAGTAAATTTTCTGTATGCTTTATTTCATTTGTCAAGAGTTTGGTTTTCCCTCATGTATACACCCTTATCCCCCATGTACCTTTCTGTCAGTGCTTGGTATAGTGCCTGGCTCAACATAGCACACATTTTAACAAATGATAACCAGTATTATTAGGCAATAATGTGATAACATATGTAAAAAAGATTCTGTAAATCTTAAATTATAATAAACACATAAAGTGTGATAAGGGGCCAAGAGGTAATAGACTATAAATCAGAGCATAGATGCAGATCCCCCTGCATTCTCAAGTCCAAGCTTTGACAGGTAACACAACCTATTTAAGCCTCATTATAATCTGTAAAATGGGTAGAATGCCTACTTCCTAAATGAGGTATAAAAAAGAAAGGAAATGATTAAAGGAAAAACCTTAGTGTCTGGCATTGATCCATAAGTATTAGCTTATATAATAATTATTATCTTCACTTAAAGGCCTTCTGAAACAACACAACTCAAATCAGAAAGAAAAGTAAGAAACAAGTAACAACAAAGAACTATAAAGGTGATAGAACTCAAGCCAAACTCTGATTCAAGAGAATGCTGGTGAGGCTCAGGTGACCTCTGTAATTGGAAACCATTTGATATTCTCCGTACAGAATAAGACTTTGCTGTGACCATCAGGTGTGGGATGGTACTAATTTTACCATGAGACCTAAAGAAATGTCCAGAGACTAGACTACCTCAGAGGCATTTCCCCTAATCACAGTTTAAAGCAATCAAGCCCATAGTAAGGAGGATCTAGATGCAGACTATTGGAGATTTTTATATCTTTTAGTTTCCTTTACATATTAGATATTATAAATGAATTGATCTTACAGAGTGTGGGTTCAGTAATCCTCAACAAATCCCACATTTATTCCTTACACTGAGTTTCCAGTTAAAGAATCTTTCTGAGATAGGTAATTGAACTGACCAGATCCTAGTTTTTATTAATTAATATGTTTATTTATCATATGTTTGCTGCACTGAGTATGCCAGGCCCTGCAAACCACTGAAGACCCAGCCCTGTGGCAAGAAAACTCCTTGTCCTCATGGAGCTTGTATTCTAGTCAGGAAATTAAACATACAGTTAAGGTGAAAAAAACCCAGCATGCTTGATGGTCAAATATACCAATCATAAAAAATGAGTTCAGTGTATTAGTTAATATTTCAGCTAGAAAATACAAAAGTTATCCAAGGGTTCAATATGGAAAGAATTATGTACAGAGAATCTGCATCTTGCTTAAGTGTTTGAGGAGCTGAGAGAGAAAACTCCAGGGAAGCAGCAGCTGAAGGCAGGTTGCTGTGGAAATGTCCAGAGCTGAGTGCAATCTCAACATCCAGAAGGTCCCATTCAAGTCCTTCCCTCTGTTCATGTTTCTGCTTAAACAAGCCTCTGGAGAATAATGGCCTCTGACTCTTCATCACCGTCCAGAATTTTGCACATGTTTCTCATTGACAGACTCTAAACCCAGAACTGCACAGAGACTGAGAGAGACAGAGACAGAGACAGAGAGAGACTAAGAGGAAGTTTGTGTGTGTGTGTGTGTGTGTGTGTGTGTGTGTGTCTACACGCATGCATGTGTGTTATTTCCTGTCATATACTAATTTAAAAATGGGTTTCAACCAGTGCTGCCATAAGTAAAATAAGTCAGACCAAACCAGATAAATACCATATGATCTCACTTCTATGTGGAAACTAAAACAAAACAAAACAAACAACTGAAGTCATGGATGCAGAGAACAGATTGGTGAATTCCAGGTGTGGGGAGTTGGAGGTGGGGGAAAAGATGAAAGGAATCAAAAGGTACAAATTTCCCATCATAGGATGAATAAGTCCTGGGGGTGTAATGTACAGCATGGTGACTATAGTTAACAATACTGTACTGCATAATAGAAAGTCACTAAGGGTAGATCTTAAAAGTTCTCATCATAGAAAAAAATATTTCTAATTATGTGGATGATGGATGTTAACTAGACTTATTATGGTAATCATTTTGTAGCATATATATGTCAAAACATTTGTATACCTAAAACTAATATTACATTAAATGTCAATTATATCTCAATAAAAAATAAAAGAAAGAAAATCAGTTTATTAACAAAAAAGAATGCTGAAACAAAACTATAACAGGCTTAGGACTGGAGATAAAGTGGCTCATGTCATGCATGGGTGAAATGCTTGGCAAAGTTGACACCTGTAATAAGGCAGAGCACATCTAATGAATGCGTAGCTCTTTGGGCAGAGGTTGGAAAAGGAACATTAATAAGAATGTGTTGGCTGCTATTGACTGCTTTTGGTAAGTTAACATAAGAAAGAAATTATCTCAGAAGATAATTGGCCAGTCTGAAAGCAGTATGAAAGAGAAAAGAAAGATAAAGCAAACAGTTTCTTGCAGGGTTAGAAGAAGCAAATACTTCTCATTCCCATCAGTAAATCAGAATATCAAGAAATGCTTTGAGAATAAAAGTTCATTGAAACTCAGCTTTGCAAAATAATCAGAATCACTGCTAAAAATCCCTAAATGGATTAAGTTGTCAACCTGTAAGATCTTTAATCATACAAACATGGCTTCAGGATATGAGACTAAGGTATGACTCTTCCATTGAAGGCTGATATGGCCAAGGTAACTATACTTAATTTAAGAGAAAGAGTAAGAGTCCATTTGAAAGCAAAAGGATGGGAGAGGCAGTGGTATGTAAAAGCAAAGGCACATGGTGAATCCTAGAATAGTGTTCACAAGAGGTCTGTGAATGTGGCTATGCACATGTGAAACTCTCCTAATAGGTAAGAAGCTGACTCGGTTTTAAGAGAGTTCTACTGCCAAAGGACCATCAAGTCAGGAAGAGACGTCTGTGACTCTTTGAAACTGAGATTATTTTTGCATTACTATCTATAATGGGCTGATTATGGCTTGGAAAACTGATCAGACCTTATTTTCCAATGCTCATTTTTTTCTCATGGCTAAAGTAGCTAGTGGAAAAAAAATAAACTCTCAGACAAGAGCCAGGAGTCAAGAGCCAGGGAGAAGAGTCCTTTGGAACCCTACATTAGGAGCAGAATTAAAGCTTAATCAAAGAAGATGCCTTCCTTCCAGGGAACAGAGCCCACTCAGGATCTGCCAATTAGAGTCTCAAAATTGCTGTGAAACCAGTGGGTTGATTGTGATGATCCTGGCTCTTCTCCATTGTTGTAGACATACCAGGTATGCTGGAGTAGGTCAAATAGCTTTTCTCTTTAGTTTAGAAGTTGATAGACCAAGAAAAACCATGTACAGAATTGATGTGGATGTCAGCACAAATACACATAACCTTGACGTTGAAGCTGGGCCTGGGTGGACCTTTTTGGTTACCTCATTTGAAGAAGGGTGGGATGTATCTTCCCTGATGTGGGAGAGATAGACAATATTTGGCAGCTAGATACAGATCATGGTGGTCACTGGTGCTCTTCACCAAGTACTGCAGCAGCCCTCCTTGTGGGCACAGAGTAGAATTGCACTTCCCCCTCCCCCTGTTGGGGCTGTGTCTGCCACCTTATTTATGATAAAGTGTAATGTGAGCAGAGTGAGGTGTGCCATTTCTGAGATGATGTTTGAAGAGCACACCTCCTTTTCAGTGTGTGAGAGACTGTGGAGCACAGCTCCTGCTGATTCATGCTGGACACATATCATGGGTGCAAAATTCCCCAGAGCAGTTTGTAAGAGGAGCAATCCACAGCCTATACCAACTGGTACCTTGGAAAATGTGGAATGGGGAGTGGAATGAGGGAGAAAGTACTGCTTTCCTTATTGAGAAGTTGACTTAGAACCAAAACCTTAGAGAGGTGCAGGAGTGAGCCACATAATAGATGGAACAAAAGACCTGGAGCAAGTTCAAAAGCATACCTGATGAGACAGTAACAATTCTGCCAGACAGAATAGACTGGATGAGGTGAGTAGGCACCTCAACTACTTGATGGCAGGATTTTAGCTTAACAATGATGATTGCTGACTATGTAACAGGCTATATTTGCACAGGGAACACACTTAGTACTTTAAATAAAATTCAGCATACGACAATGACAGTGTGACTCATACAGATATTCATACGTGTTACTTCCTTCTTTTCTTTAATACTGGTTTATCAGATAAGAGAATGAGGAGAAAAGGATGAAAAATGTTCTTCCAAGCAGGGCCAAGGCCTACCTATGTGATCAATGATAACAAATAATTGGAGAAAGTATTTGCAAATGACATATCTGACAAAGGGTTAGGGCAATATCTAAAGTCTATAAAGACCTTATCAAACTCAACATCCAAAAAACAAACAAATAGGCAGAAGACATGAATAGACAGACACTTTTCCAAAGAAGACATACAGATGGCCAACAGACACGTGAAAAGATGCTCAACATCACTCCTCATCAGAGAAATTCAAATCAAAACCATGATGAGATATCACCTCACGCCTGTCAGAATGGCTAAAATTAACATCACAAGAAACAACAGGTGTCAGTGAGAATGTGGAGAAAGAGAACCCTCTTGCACTCTTGGTAGGACCACAAACTGGTGCAGCCACTCCGGAAAACAGTATGGAGGTTCCTCAAAATGTTAAAAATAGAACTATCTTACAACCCAGCAATCGCACTAATAGTTATTTACCAAAATGATACAAAAATACAGATTTGAAGGGGTACATATACCCCAATGTTTATAACAGCATTAATAACAATAGCCAAACTATGGAAAGAGCCCAAATATTCATTAACTGTTGAATGGATAAAGAAGATGTGGTATACTGAGGTGCCTGTCTAGCTCAGTCCTAATGGACTCTTGTCCAGCTCTTGATTTTGGCTCAGCTGATGATCTCACAGTTCATGGGATCAAGCCCCATGTAGGGCTCTGTACTTACAGCACGGAGCCTACTTAGGATTCTCTGTCTCCCCCTCTCTCTCTGCCTCTCCTCCA